GTCAAGATAGCTACTAAATCACACCGGTCACCGAGCAACGATGTGATATTATAACCACCTTGCAACTGTGACCAGACGGCAAAGTAATCAATCGCTAACGCTTTCATTGAAAATTTCATTGTGTTATAAGTCTACTGCATGTTGTGACTGTATCGTTTACTTCCAACATCAAACTATTTTTCTGTTTAAAATTTTAAAAGGGTTTGAAGATAATATGTCTCTTATTTAACTTTATGCTTTTCATTAGGGGTGTTTTGAAAGAATTCTGGTATTGAAAGTGTCATTAGTAAGTACATGTATAGGCTTATGTCGCATTTATTATTTGGATATAATAAATCCCTTAACATTAGAATAATATAAAATATGGATAATTTTTGTTGCTTAATAAAAGCGCCACACGCGTTTAATTTTGTATTGAAATCCTTTGGCTATCGTTACACCGACGCGGGTTTTGATCGCGGTGCTACCGAGACCGTGTTTACACCGCGGCGGGGCCAACCGTTATTCTTAAAGATGTTCTTACCTGTAAAGTATTGTCGATTTTAATCGTGTCGAAATATTGGTCAGGGGGGGGGGGATTGCTATCACATTGATATTATAGATTTATACCATTACATGGATTCTTTAAAAATTCATTTTTTAAGTTTTATCAAATAACATCTTTTTTTTCTGTACCAATAGTCACTCAAAATTAATTAATTCTCAAACACGTCTGTTAACAGTAATACATGTACAGTATAGGATGAAATAAAGTGAATAATTTATTGAATATATTAACTTAAAGTTATTTTCAAAATCAATAATGCCACCCCAAATGATCTTCAAATTGCTAAAAAGGTATAATTAATTAACCCTAAAGAATGCCGTGATATCGCTTCTCTTTATATGCACTGGTGTAATCCGGTGTTCACAATTAGCCCGTGCAGTTGCAGTTACATGTAGCTATGTGTTTATTTATCTGCGAGATTATATCAGTCATTTGGTTTCATTTAGAAAACTATCGTTACTTCTGTATAAATATCTTTTATACAATAATAGCATGAAAAACGATGATAGATAGTGATACATAATTACAATTAAATTTTAACAAAACACGCGTAAGTGTAGGAATACCGTTGTTCCATTATTATGCGCTACACTGTAAGACTATGAACTAAATATCGACGATTTTTATTTGTTTTTTGTTTTTTGTTTTTTTTTTTTGAGTGTTTTTTTTTTTTTTTTTTTTGGGGGGGGGGGGGTTATTGCAAATAAAATAATCACAGGTCAATCTATTCAGAATATCAATAATATCATAGCTAGTATTTGAATGTATTTCTATTTTCTGATTTCTTGTGCAAAATTACTAAAATCATGTCAATGAACATAAACAAATTTCAGATTTCTCCGATTCAAATAAAACACAAACACAAATATGGGCCCTTAAAATATCTGAACACACAACACAGAAATTAATTTATTTTAATCAGCAAGTTGCCAAGCTTCAAGCTTTCAGATGTCTGTGTTACTGTTCGGTTTTCCTCAGGTAAGTTTGGTGTGGATTGGAGCTTACTCGAAGCGGATGAGAAGCCCCGAGGGAACGACGCTGTCTAGCTAGTGTACATACTACCTATATACACAGGATGTTACCTGAGTGTATAACCTGTATGCGTTCCTACGACATTGTAAAACGAAGCCGTTTTTTTTCATGTGTAGCTCATGGATTGAAATGCATTAAATAAAGAATTCAATGTTTTTGTTGCAGACAGAATCCTTTTTAAATTTTTTGTTTCAAATAAATATTTTCAATAATTCGACAATTTTAATATACTGTGTTTTTCTTAATCAAATCTTATAACAAAATTACATTTTTTTTTTTTTACCACCAAAATCTGTCGTTGTAATCTGGCGACAAAAAGGGAAGTAATTCAAATTACATGTCATGTACATATGCTAAACGAAAGAAGAAAGTCGATCATAAACAAGTCTCTCGATAAATAACAATAAAACTTAGACAAAATCCACAAATGGTCAATAAACTGATAAATCAGCGGTAGTTTTATTCGCTAGACTTAAGAAATTGATAATATACTGATCAAAAAGGAGGAAAAACGATCATGCACGTGCCTTAATATTGTGATAACTCTCTCTCTCTCTTTCTCTCTACTAACTGGTACAGATATAAACAGACACGAAATAACATAGCAGTTGATCATTATATGATTTAATTAATATCAAATACTTCATTAATTTGTTTTAAAAGTTTGCTTTTTTTACTTTAATTCTTTTTACACACTCCGTTTAAAAACAACAACAATAATTTGACACAAATTCCAAGGCTAATATCGCATCTAAAAATGATATCGATGAAATAATAATGAAACAATGAATCAAATGTGTTGTTGAATGGCTACACAACGATGTGCACATCCAGCGAGCGTTACCCAAGGTATACTCTAAGACAGGTGTGAAACCCCCAGGGCATGTCGTTTCCTGCTCAGGCACTGCTAATCCCTATACACAGGAAATGATCGCGGCTAATACTTAATACGCAAAGAAACATAATTTGTCAAAGAAAACAAAAATATATGAATTTTTGCATTGAATATTTATTAATATAAACTATAATTTCGTCTGTGAAGTTTATCAATACACCTGCACATCCTATCTTATCTATTGAACACGAAAATCGAGAAATATTAAAATTAAAAAGAAAGACATAGTTTTAAAAAGTAATACATGTGAATATGAAGGTGAAAAACGATATTTTTTCTTGAAAATCTCTTGTATAAAGTTCACGTGCTCAAAGTTAACTCTCGCCATAGAATGCTTTTCGGTCATTTGACAATTTGAGAAAAATGACTGCACATTTATATAAAAGAGGGAAATAAATTAAAGAAAAGTTTTCTTAATTTGCGAAAAAAACATAAACGATGAGAAATAAAGAAGAAAAGAACTTTTTTCTTGATATCTTGGATAAAGAAAATTTAAGTTCACGATCTCTCTCTCTCTCTACATGTAACTGTAAATGCTCGTCATCGGATGTTTTCCGGTAATTTGACACTTTAAGAAAAAGCCTGTACATTTTATATACAATAAATCGAAATTAATTAATAAACAATATGAAGATGTACATTTTTAAAAAGATGTACATCTTTTTTTTCAAATGAATGCTGAAAATCGTTTATCGAAACTTAAACAGTCTGAGTTCAACATTTATTACAGTTTGCATATAATATGAAGATTTAGAAAAAAAAAAAACTAATTAAAATTTCTAGTACATTCTCTGTATTTAATTTTGATTCTTGATAGATTCTTAATAACACAAAATAATTAACCATTGCAAAGACGTAACAATTTAATAAAATTTTCTATTCAATTTCAAATATTGATATGTAATTTTAGAAACAAAAATAAACTTATTTTTTCTTAGTTTAAATTCTATTCATAGCAAAATTAATTAATAAACACACGTTTTTTTTTGTTTGTTTTCTTTTTTTTTTTGTTGAAAACATGGAACTTTGTGCAAATTACAATTAGTGCATGTTATACTGTTACTGGTATTTTTGTTTACGATACTAATTGTCAGTAATTGATCGATGATTTAACCGCGGCGGGGACAGGTAAGTGATGAATTTCCCGCGGAAAAACGCGGTTAAAAAATGTTTAACCTGGAAATATACCGCGTTGTGATTATATGCGGCGAAAAACGCGGGAAATTTTGTTACCTTGCCTGTACTGTAATAATTGTGCACCATAAAATCAACACGATCTCTCTCTCTCTTCTCCATTTCAGTTCGTAGTGCGAAAAAATCATATGTGCTAATGTTTACATTCCACAACTATGCGCTTTACTAGTAAATGTCTCCGCCTATTTGCGTATACCTTAGATTCGAAAGTGGTTCCATTCAAATTTCCGGAATTTAAGGCTTTTACATGTTCTTTTCAATTACATTTTCTGTAATTATAGAAATATGTATGACAAAAAATTCTAGAAATAAATATCAAAAGCATATGCTTGCACATTAATCATAGATTAATTTAGCGATATATTGTTATTTCAAGTTTAAAATGGGTAGCCGAAAAGGTTCCAAATGACGTACTTAAGTGCACTCATTCTTTTGCCCCGCAAAATGATAAAATTGTTTGTATTTTATTTAGCATTTATTTTTTCTTTTGGAAAATTATAAAAGTCCGCAAAAGAAACATTCTATATGAGTAAGCAGAGGGTTTATGAACCTTAAAATATTATATGCGTTTTTTAACATAGATAAAAGCTCATGCAGATAAATAGAGGAGAACGGAAGACCGTTTTTGTTGCTGTAGCAACAAGAGTTTCTAGTTATATCTATTATCTTTATTTTCATCATTTGTAAGGCACTCTGTTGGATTACTGTTTTCTTTTATTTTTTCTATGAAAACATGGACTTTGTGCATTTGTTGCTCTAGTGCATGTTATACTGTTACTGGTATTTTGTATTTAGGTCTCAAGAAGGGTATTGTTGTTTCCTTTCTTCAGACAAACATTAACAATTTTAAGCATTGATTAATAGTTCCCTGTAAAGTTGACTTTATATTAACACAGTAACCATATTCTTTAATCCCACAAATATAGATCTTTAACCCCACAAATATAGATCATTCACCCCACAGTATACCTATTGTTTGAATTCCTAATGAAACCTCTTAAGTCATCATTGTACTTGTAATAACTCCACAAAGCCGGATGATAATCCCGAACCTTCTGTAAAATGCACAATGTACCTCTCAACTGTATACAGACAGACGGATGGACAACAGACAAAATATGATCAGAAAAGCTCACTTGAGCCTTCGGCTCAGGTGAGCTAAAAATTATTTAGTTTTATCAATACATATAATAATGGTATTGCCAAAATATCTCCCCCAAGAAAGTTTTTTTCCCCTATTAATTTGCATAATTAACAGCATGCAAAAATATCCATGTTTACAGTTTGTCCCATGACTTGTCTCATTTTCAGTCTTGGATCAAAGAAACTTACATCTTTAACACATTCCGGTGGATCAACTGTGAATCCTGGGTACTCTATAATCTTCTCAGGGTCAATCTGACCTACAAGTAAATGAATACTATCAAGTGCTCATACTGAGCATGCTGATTGCATAACCAATAGAAAACAAAATCAAAAACCGATGCACTAAATTATGTATCTTAGTGTAGTCTACTACAGTGCCAAGTTATATTGAAATCAGACCAAAACTGCAGGAGGTGTAGCATTTTGAAAGAATTTCACAGAAATTTCTATTTTTAGTAACAATGGCAACATCATTCATCTAAATGAATAACCGATGAATAAAATTATGTATCTTAGTGTAGTTTACTTGTGTGCCAAGTTATACAGTCAAACTTGTTTTAAGAGGCCACCTTTGGGAAGTCTGAAATCTGGCCACTTAAGACAGGTGTCCTCTTATTCCAGTTTGCCCTCGAAATAGCCAGTTGGTCGATAAATATACAACATTAATCACTACAGTTAAATTAATTAATCATATGATTCTACAGGTCAATTTCACAAAGATTTTTATGTGTGTATATATTATTTCATGCTTTTTAAAAAATATGTATTAAAGAATTCCAATTTTTTAAGGTCTAATGCATGTTTCCGCTGCTACATTTCAGGCATACATTCATCAGTGAGCTTTTGTTACATTGAAATATTAAATAAACTATTTCAATAATCATTTGAAGAAATACATGTGCCTTACTATTACCTTTTTGTTAATAAAAAAAATACACAAACAAGAATCAAAAAACAGTTTAATGGTAAATAAAATAAAGATTAGAAATGTATTCAAGTAAGAATACACATGTATGTCAATAAAATACATTTAAAAATTTCACTTTCATATGTTAAAGTAAATGATCAACAGTGTACCCCCCCCCCCCCCCAAATTAATTAATCGACAATAAGTTTACTTGGTGAAGTTTTAAAAGTTTTTATAAAGCTGTAAGAATTCAAAATTTCACAAATAAGATTAACCAGTTGACCAGAAAGGTGTATTTACGCAGTTGAAAATCATTCTACAACACAGGGGCTCGTTTCTCAAAAAGGCCTACGACCAGGCGTAAGATTAGTCTGGACTAAATCAGTGACTATAAACCCGAAAATCGGACTAAGATGCGTTTAGTCAAGACTAAATTTGGGTTTAAATCTAGGCCTGCTCATGAGTAGGCGTAAGTTCGTAGTCTGTACACAACTTGGAAAAATAGGCATTGTCAAGTGTTTTAATCATAAAGAGTTAAAAGAATGATTATTTTATACGTATGATATATACCTACACATGAGATTTTCATGCATATTAGGCCTTCCAAGCCGCTGACCTAGATTGCTTGTCGAATTTGCATTCAGATAGTTTGAGCAAGGTACCTATTCATAGACATGTACATAATTATATGATATGCGAAAAATCGGAAATATATATCGTATATTGTATTATGTAGGTAAATAGAAAAGTAGTCAAATCCATTTAGGATGCAGACTTTTTTTTCGCAAACGGTGAGATGAACTAGAAATGTGTAACTAAGAATTTTAAATTCAAGTTATGTAGGAATTTAAGAAGTGACAGAATCTTTTTAAATGCAGGTATGCCTTGTGTGTGTGTGTGTGGGGGGGGGGGGGGCAGGGGCTGCAACCCTCCCGTTATTTTGCAGTAACGTTTTCCGTTTAAAAAAATTTATAATTTCATAGACTGATCTCCACTTTCAGTATTTCTCTTCTCGTCCGAGTATTTTGGTTACTCAATTACTCGTCCCCCCATCCCCATCCCCATCAACTTTTTGAAAAAAAAATGATGCTAGGTCCCAGAAGATTTTGTTTTGTTTTGAAATGGATAATGTTTCAATAAAATCCAAAAAAATATTCATTTTTAAAATATATTTTAAGTAATGACAAATATTTGGTAACTATGCAATCAACTAGGTTTATACTCCTTACCTTTGATTAATGCATCTTTAATTTTCCCCTTTAATTTCATGTTATTAAATATATATTCAATAAAACATAACAAGAGGCCCATGGGCCTTACATGTCACCTGATTATCGTGTAACAACTTTCCAACAATTGAATTTGGTTTGTGTTTTAAACCAGAGGCCATGAAATTCCCAATTTTGAAAGAGGCATTGCTTATCATAATTATACACTTAGCTTGCTTACTCTAGTTACTTAATACCCAGAGATAGATCAAAGTAACAAAGAAAAAATGCACTTCCATTTTATAACCAGTTGTGCACCCCATCCCCAAAGGAACCCCTGACCCTGGGGCCACTTATTTCAAAATTTTGAAAATTTTATTTCATCATAAATGGTTGATTGATACTAAAGAACAGATTTCAAAGCATTAATTTATTTTCAGACTATGTACCCCCCTACCCCTTACCCAGGGGGCATGAAATTAACCATTTTGATAGAGGCACCTTTTTTCATCATAAATATATATACTTAGATCATTGGCATAATACTCAGGTGCAAAGGAAAAGGTTTTCAAAGAATTAAAGTATTTTCATTATAAAATCAAAAGACCCCACTTACACAAAATCGATAAACCCCTGACACAGCTAGTGGCCATGAAATTTACAAATCAGGTTGAGGCACTCTTGCTCATTATAACTATATACTAATTTAGTTTATTTAATACCCAGGAGCAGAGAGGAAGATTTTAAAAGAATTAATGTTTTTTCACTATATAATCATTGAAGCCCCACCCTAACACCAGAACCCCTGATCCTGGGGCCATAAAATTTACAATTTTGGAAGAGGCACTCTTACTCATCATAACTATGTACTTAGTTAGTTTATTTAATACCCAGGAGCAGAGAAGAAGATTTTCAAAGAATAAATGCATTTTCACTATATAATCAATAGAGCCGTGCCCTTACACTAGAGCCCCTGACCGTAGGGCCATAAAATTCACAATTTTGAAAAAGGCAATCTTGCTTATCATAACTATATTAATGTACTTAGTTAGTTTATTTAATACCTAGGAGCAGAGAAGAAGATTTTCAAAGAATAAATGCATTTTCACTATATATTCAATAGAGCCGTGCCTTTACACTAGAACCCCTGACCGTAGGGCCATAAAATTCACAATTCTGAAAAAGGCAATCTTGCTTATCATAATTATGTACTTAGTTAGTTTATTTAATACCCAGGAGCAGAGAAGAAGATTTTCAAAGAAATAATGCATTTTCACTACATAATTTATATAGCCCAACCCTAGCACTAGAACCCCTGACCCTGGGGCCATGAATTTCACAATTTTGGTAGAGGACTCAATGCTCATTACATTCATACCAACAGTTTGACTGTTTAATGTCCACGAGTAGAGAAGAAGATTTTAAAAGATTTCAGTAATTTTAGTTGTTTTGGCCCCACCCCTCAGGCCCCAGGGGGGTGGGGACCATAAAATTCATAATTTATGTTCTCCTTCACTCATAGATGCTGTGTACCAATTTTGGTTGAAATTGGTTCGGTGGTTTCAGAGAAGAAACTGAAAATGTTCAAATGTTAACACACGACGCATGACACACAACACACGACGACAGACGAAAACGGATAGCAATAGGTCACCTGATTGACTCAGGTGACCTAAAAATTTGAATTTGTAAAATGTTCCAGTATTATACTGAAAGTATTCTGCTCATAAGACAGAAATTTCTATTTCTAGTAATCACAGCAACACCGTTCACCGAAATCAAAAATCGATACACAGAATTATGTATCTTAGTGTAGTCTACTTGTGTGCCAAGTTATATTGAAATCAGACCAAAACTGTAGGAAGAGTAGCATTTTGAAAGAATTTCACAGAAATTTCTATTTTTAGTAACCACGGCAATACCTTTCATCGAAATCAAAAACCGATATACAGAATTATGTATCTTAGTGTAGTCTACTTGTGTGCCAAATTATATTGAAATCAGACCAAAACTGTAGGAGGAGTAGCATTTTAATAATAATAAATAATGATTGTTTTTATATAGCGCTTTTCTAGCATAAATGCTACTCAAAGCGCTTTACAATACATTATTACCCCAGCAGACCTTAACAATCCAGAATCTCTCTCAGTGCAAGCTGCCGTTAACAGCGCTAGAACACTAACATTCTGACAATATCTTTCACTGTCTATAGCCAGGTACCCCTTTTACACTTGGGTGGAGTGAGGAAATTTGTGTAAAGTGCCTTTCCCAAGGACACAACGTCGGCTTGTCGTGGCCAGGATTCGAACTCACAACCTTTCGGTTTGGAGTCCGGCACCTTAACCACTGGACTACCGACGCCACCAAGAATTTCACAGAAATTTTTATTTCTAGTAACCACGGCAACATTGTTCATCGAAATCAAAAACCGATACACACAATTATGTATCTTGGTGTAGTCTACTTGTGTGCCAAGTTATATTGAAATCAGACCAAAACTGTAGGAGGAATAGCATTTTGAAAAATTGTTTACAGACAGATGGACGGACAGACAGACAGAAAGACAGCTAGACCGATGCATTACTATCGCATAAGCTCTTCTGGTCTCTGACCAGTAGAACTAAAAACTATGTATGAGTATGAAAATCACGACTTGTTAATATCTTTATGTCTAAATTACATCTACAAGAAACATCCTGTATCTATCAAAAAAAAAATTTGTGTGAACATATTCTCAATAGAAATTGAAAAAGAATGGCTAGATTTAAGGAAAAGGTGATGTTGTAATTTGTACCTTTCCCGATCTAAATAAATCTGATTTGAAAATATTCAAATGGAAATATTTCATTTCTTGCCTGTAATATGGTTCACAAAAATTCGATTTAAAACTAATTAAGCTTTTGCAAGCCATTATGGAGAATGCCTGTGCTAGAATGCAAGTGCTGTATATATATATGTGTTTCTACTTTCTACACGGACTATGTAAATTATCTTATCGATATCAATGTTGTTTTTAACATACTGAATTACAGGTAATTTTTACTGCTGTAAATTTTTATGAATTCGGCTGAAATGGGGTGATTTAATTTTTTACGCGTTAAATTTTTACGAATTGAGCAAGTCCGTAAAAATTAAAATCACC